TTTATTTATTGAATCACTGCCAAAAGAAATGTTGTATTGTATTACTTTCGAAATATACGTACAATGATATTGAGAATATCTAACCGTTTACAGTTTTGAAAGATACGTGTGCCCTTGAATAAAGATTCACTCGATTTTATGTTATACCATATATGGCTTCTACTATTAAATTGATTGTTGCCGAAAGAAGTAAAAAGTCCAGCCGGTGATCAATGAATTATTAAGAAATAAAGAGGTTTTGCTTTGATTGAGTCACGAACATTTGCACAACAATGGCTTTATTTTGATGTTGCCATGAGACTCAGATGGAGAAATTTCTAGAAAGACTAAAAATATATAATGTTGTTGTCGATTTGAATTTATTTACATATTTTGCAACTAATTGAAATTCCGATAAATATTGCGGGTGCACATTTAAAATGAATTTAATATATTTGTTTACATAGACGTTGTATTCAACAGTCCACAGATAACAGGTTGCTATAACAAGTAGAAAAATCGAGAAAAAACCAATTGCATATCGAAATCTAAGAAAATAAATTGCATAAATAGAAATGGATTTTACTCCGACTTTGACCTTGGATTCAACGCACTAATATGCTTATGTTTATTTCAGTCTGGAGTGTTACTTTTAATTAAAGATTTGACCGAATACAAATATTGGTTAAAACAGTTTTGCAAACGGTTTAGCCTGCTATTTCAATATTAGAGGTAGATTTACATTGAAGTGCCGCCAGGCAATACAAAGCACTCTCAATTTGAGATAAGAATAAAAACTGTTGTTGAATTTACCATTGCACAAACAAACGCCTGAAAACGAAAGAATTTCCACCTATTTCAACCTACACTGATTTGTAAGGCAATGAAAAATCTATTCAATTGCATACAACAAAATAATAGAACTTCGTATTGTTACCGCTTGCACAACATGGCTGGTTTTCGAAAATCGTGTTCCACGCGATTAGGTGCCAAATACAAATCTTTGATACGCTCAATTGGTGTGAATTAACTGCGAGATATTATTGCCACATTTAATTCAATTTAGTTTCATTTATTTTTATATATTGACCAATTTACAGTGGAAGACATTTGCATAAATTTACAATATACATACATAGTGTATCATATATTGTTACATAGACAAACAATTTGTTGGTGCGTGTGTTGCACTAATTACATAATCGAGTCCAATTTTATCGATCATGTAGCATTTTAATGAAACTCGTTTTCTATTCGATGTTTTTTTTAAACAAGTCAATCAATGCAATTGAACCAAACTATACAACATTGGAAGTAGGAATGAAATTCGATAACTGGTGAAATTGTTAAACATTCAGTTTTACCATTGTTTAATGTTCGTGGCTCATTTTTAAACCAATACTTATAATTTGTAATAAGAATTTCGATGATTATGTTTTGAACTGTGAACTTTCTAAAATTTAATTCCATATTAATTCTGAAAACAAGCCAATTATTTGTATGGCTATTTTAAATTAAAAGATTAAACAGAACAATATTGAAATATTTGAAAAGAATTTAATTTAGTTATCATTGCAAATGGCCAATGGTTCTATACATGTATCGTATGACATACTTCGAAAACAATTTCTGCAAATAAAATTGGTAACACATAGAAAAACAATATTGTTGTTATCCACAATCGATGTATTTTAAGTTTAGAAGCAATAGAATTTAATTTTATTGAAAATCAATTAAAAATGAACCCATTGTGCGAGAAGCGTACAATCGATTCCGTGTGTTTCAAAAATAAATTATTGAATGGAAACACAATATGGACACTCGCCCAAATGTCGGACTATTTGTTTGAATTTTCAACTTCAATTTGATTTTTAACACTTTTGCTTTCATCTAAAAATATCATTCTAATGTGAAACGTAGTTTTATACATTAAGCTATGGAATAGTAAGATATATATATATGTTTGTTCAGTGATTTTAGAGAAAACCAGAAAAGATAGAGAGTTCGGGTTTTCGGCATTCGATAGGGCATGAAAAACCCTCCAGACGTATTTTTTATTTTCCCCATAAGTGCTCCCCATTTAATTTTTTCACTCATGGACCCTCTTTTTTGGATTCCACTTTGAAAAATATTTCGATTCCACTCACCATTTATTGAGTGGATAACGAATGGATTCGGGTGGATTGACGTTTATCCGTAACTTCATTGGTTGGATAAAAGATGGAATAAATGAGTTTTACTTCAGTGTTAATTTGATTACTTTGGATCTAGATGAAACTTGTTGAAAAAAAGTTTGATGGCGTTTTACGCTGGCCGTTTGGCCGAAATATGAAAAATTGTGAGAAAAATCGGCTTCCGAATCTCCAATGAGCGCTAATATCGTCGATTTTTCTTTATCGATTCCACCAATACGACATCTACTAAAAAACTCGTCGATTTCTGTTACTAGTGGTGTTTTAATACATCTCGTGTAAACGTACAAATGAACACACTGACTCCAATTCTGTGTATGCGTATGTATTACAAATTCTGCACTCAGTCTTCAATCGTAGCTGCTTGTGCAAAATTTACAATACATACGCATACACAGGATCGGAGTCTGTGTGTTCTTTTGTATTAGTTCGTCTATAATATAGCCATAGCCGTGTAGTTCGCTCGAGCTGTGTCAAAGCAACAGTAGTAACAAAAATCGGTATCTTTTTTAACAGATGTCGTATTCGTAGAATCGATAAAATTAATTTGTATGGAGAATATACGATACTAGTTCCCATCGCGAATCTCATTGCAAGCAACCTAGTTCTATGATTTTGATGAAACTTTGCCAGATGATAGCTCTTGAAGCCCTCTTTCCAACGGTATATAGCTTATTAGCCAATCAAACTTGTGAATGTGTTTCCCAGGTGGCCGTTTGAGGCCAAATTAGTGTAAATATTGGCAAAATCAATTTTCAAGGTGTAATTTATTTTAAAAAAATTGTGGCAAAAAATTCAAAATATGAATGTCGAGTAGTTTGTTTTTCTTAGTAGTACGGTTCCACGTTTCACATTAAGCTCTACGGCCAAAAACTGGCAGTGTATTTAATTGTGCTTCATTTCACACTTGTCAAAAGAAAGAAATTTCCAAAAATATATTATTATTTTCCTGTTTCCGTCGTAACATCAAAAATTCCAAATGTCGGATATTCATCGTCCAATTCTCGGCTCCCAAATCTCGACATATTTCATGAATTTTCACTGCGAAGCTTGAACAACTTTAAGTTTTGACAGCTCATGAACGCATTCTTTACATTGAGGTAAACAATACAAAATATCGAAGTTCAAATTATTAGATTGATATATTTTTGCTGCATAATTAATTTTATTTATTTTTTCATAATAAAATAGCAAAAATATTTAAAAATATTATGTTATTTCACTGATCTATGATATTTTTGGTTTGAATTTCACAATGATCCAAATATCGACTTTAACTGTCACATCTGTCAAATTCAAAGTATTTCACTTGAAACTTGGGTGCTTTATGTGTAGGCAATTGGACGATTTATTCCGGAATAATATTACAGTGAAAAATGAAAATAATTATTAAATATAATTTTTTTTCTTTATATTTTCAATATTTCTGTTCAATAACTAAATTAAACTATCTACAATTCGCAGACATATTTTTTTTCCAAATTAGCTGTTTTTTCATATAAAAAAATGCATTTTACCGGCTCAAAATGACATAGTTTAACTTTTGACGTGAAAAAGTGATAAAAATGCCGAATTTTTTTTGAACGTTATTTGTGAAAGCAATAATAGATTTTTGATTAAAATTTGGATTATTATAAAGAGATTTGATATTGATCTTTCATAATTTACTTTTAAAAATGCAATTAAAATGAATTTTCAATTTTTAATTTCAATTCACCTCTCGGTATTCCGACATTTGGTCGAGTGTCGACATTTGGCAATGTACTGTGTATAATACAACTATGTTGCCTATGAAGAGAGTCTTTCCATGTTTAGTTCCATCATCATCATAGAATTCACTCTGAACCAAAAAAACCTAGGAAATTGAAAGAATTCTCCTCAATTTTCTACTTTGATGAGCTAAAAATAAAAAATGGATTTTGTACATTTCAAACGAATGAGCTTCAAATTGATTTTACGTGAGTCGAAAAAGCATCTTACATTCCATCATCAGCAATCACGACTAACGCAACAATCGATTTTACACTATTGACCAAGTCACCGGCGGCACAATTGTTTCACAAGCACAGACAAAACAATACGACTGAGTGCCTGTTTTTGTTAACCGTTATCAATTCAGAGAAAAAAGTCATGATTCTATCTTGTCTTTATCTCTATCTCTCTAGTTCATATGTAATAATAACAAAGTAAAAAATGTTCAGGTCTGTTAGAAAATGTGCGTCACTTTCAGTTCGATTAAGCTGGGTAAAAAGATTGGAGTCTCTTGTGGGAAATATTTACCATGAAAATAAAGATGTTTGGTGCACCAAAATGATAGATTGAAAGCATTAAATCTCATATCTAATAGAACTTTTAAATATTATTTCTGAAAAAGGTTTAAATCACATGATGTAGGTAGTAATTGAATGTCTAGTCGAACGCACTTGATTATCAATATGATAAGAGTGGCATCATAACTGAAAGTAAGAGAAATAATGTTGAACTGTTTTATTCAAACGTACAAATTAAAGTAATCGTTATGAACCCTTGCCCGGGGTTTTTGTTTTTAAATTTCTGACATAAAGGATTTATTCATAGATAAGTTAACTATTATATTGACCATAACATATTCGAGTTGATTTTGGTATATCTATTACTATATAGCAATCCTCTCAAAAGTTTTCAGTTCAAAGGAACAATATTCCAAATCAATTTTGTAATGCCTTATAATGAAAATATGTTCCATCTCTCAATGCGAAATATGCAATGAGAGATTCTGTGGGACTTATATTTACTTTGAATAGCATTTGAACAAAGATCTAACTGCATACTTCTTTTCGTTTATTTCAGAATTTTCGTAAATCGGTCATTGCACATGGAAAACATTAAATTCTTCGGATTTGACATGGATTACACTTTGGCAGGTTGGTTTTTCTATTGTTATTATCTTTTTGATATCTTATAAATTTAATTTACACTGCCGCTCAAAGCCTTTGAAGGTTTAAGCATGGTTTTCATACAAATAAACATTTTTGGAGGGTTTGGAAAATATATTTTACATTTTCAGAATTATTTGATGTTTGGCACTGAATATTAATAAGTTCTGAAAATGAAAAATATGGTCTCCGAATCTTCAGACTTTTCAACAGCAATGTATAACAAACAAATTTTTTCAATTTCATTTCGAATAGAATACAAATCGCCGCAATTGGAAACGCTTGGGTTTGATTTAGTCAAGGCACGTCTTGTGGCAATGGGTTATCCCAAAGAAATCATGCAGTTTGAATATGATCCATCATTTCCGGTTTGTTGCTTTATGAAAATTAACATGGAAAACGTTTCGAATAGCTATAAAAAGAAAATCGTTTCTATTACAGGTTCGCGGTCTCTGGTTCGATACAGTTTACGGAAATCTTTTAAAAGTTGATGCTTACGGTAACATTTTGGTGTGTGTTCATGGATTTGAATTTTTGAAACAGTAAGTATATAATGTCACTTTAACTTCAACCCACTTAGCAATAAACAATTTAAATAACTAATTCTGTTTTACAGCTCACAAGTTTATGAATTATACCCAAATAAATTTCTGAAATTGGACGAATCTCGTGTTTATGTACTGAACACATTATTTAATCTACCAGAAACATATATGCTAGCTTGTTTAATAGACTTCTTCACCAATTCACCAGAATATACACGGTAAGTTTGGTGGTGGCTGCCAGTTTCCTCCTTTTTGAAAAGTAAATGGACGTTTTCGGTTTTATTCTATTCAGTGAAAAGACAGGCGTTCGTGCTGGTGATTTGTCCATGTCATTTAAGTCAATATTTCAAGATGTTCGGAGTGCCATGGACCACGTACATTTGCATGGAGATTTGCAAAACGCAACTGTCGCGGTAAATTATTATTTTGAACTCAATCAATTTCCATTCTACGCACATTATATATCTAAAGTCATTGTCAATTCAATTTTCACTGCAGAATTTAGATAAGTACGTGAAAAAGGACCCACGACTGCCAATGGTGCTATCGCGTATCCGCGAATCGGGTGCAAAGTGCTTCTTACTTACGAACAGCGCATTTAATTTCACAAATAAGATTATGACATATTTGTTTGATTTTCCACACGGTGCAAAGTCAGAAAATGATCCACATCGTCCGTGGACAACATATTTCGATATTATCGTTGTTGATGCTAAGAAACCTTTGTTTTTCGGTAGGTTTTTATACATTAGAATTTCATATTGGTTATTAATAAAAAAATATTTAAACTTTATTTAGGTGAAGGAACAATTCTGCGACAGGTCGATACTACAACGGGAGCTTTGAAAGTTGGAACGCACATGGGTATAAGCTCTAATCACTTGAAATTATTATTACATTACTTATGAATTGCTAGAATTCTTATTTTGCCATTACTTCCGTTATATGCATTTCAAATAATCACACTGAAAGTAATAAAAAAAACTGTGATGATTTCAATTTCATTTTTTCTTCTGATTAGGTGGCTTCAAGCCGGGCCAAGTGTATTCTGGTGGTTCGTGTGACGTCTTCACATCATTGTTGGGTGCCAAGGGAAAGGATGTATTATATGTGGGCGATCACATTTTCGGCGATATTTTAAAGAGTAAAAAAATCAGAGGTAAAACCAACTTTAAAAAAACATCTATCTTCTCACAAATTTATCTCAATTTTTATGAATATTTTCGAAGGCTGGCGTACCTTCCTAATTGTCCCCGAATTGGTACAAGAATTACATGTGTGGACAGATAAATGTCAATTTTTCGCCGAGCTTCAGAATTTGGATGTCATTTTGGGTGATATGTACAAGTAAGTAGTCAGAGTTTAAAAATATTACTTATGTGATGTTACTAAGATTTTATCAATATTTCTTAAAAAGGAATTTGGATTCGAGTACGTATGAAAAACCGGACATCTCAAAAGTTCGTGCTTCAATCAGGGATGTTACCCACAAAATGGATTTGTCATACGGAATGATGGGTTCTTTGTTCCGGTCTGGTTCACGCCAAACATTCTTCTCCAGTCAGGTTAGTTGAACTAGTCGAATTTTTCCGAAATGGATATTGTGTGCTCATTCAAGAAAAAATGAAATTATTTAGGTTGTGCGATATGCTGATTTGTATGCTGCAACGTTCTTGAATCTTATTTACTACCCATTTTCGTACATGTTCCGTGCTCCTGCTATGCTTTTACCACATGAATCCACTGTAGCACATGAGCAACGTTTTATAATGGATGAACCAATGATTTCCCGTAGTCGGCTTCGTCAAGAACCAACGGTGGATGAAACTGCACAACTATCAAACGATGAAATCTTACAAATAACACAAGAGGAACTGAACAAACTACAGGTAATTAATTCACTTTTTTCTCTCGAATGAATGAATGAATCTAACTAGTTCAAATTTTGATTTTCAGTCAAATGACAAGGGATCTGTTCCACACACCAGACCAGTCACCCCACAAAAAGTAACCCACAACCATGATGAAGACTATTCCGATGAAGAAAGTGACCCAAATGCTAAAAGTGATGAAGATCGATTCAATCATTCGAGCTCCGACGAAAAATGAAACACTAACATGCACGAATATTTAAACAAAGTTCTAGAGGACAATAGTTTTTGTAGACGATGTTTATTCAATATGTAATCGTAAAACCAAAGACAGTACAATTCCGTAAAGCACTTGATTATATTCACACGCAACATGCTTTTAGACTGTTTTCAACATTGGTCTGAGACACATATGTTTATCTCGTTTGCTTGGCAAAAAAAGTATATATTTAATTGAAGAAAAAAAAACCTGTAAAATCGATTTATATTGTAGAACTCGTTGAACTATTTTGTGTAAGATTAATCAAAAACAAACAAGCATTAAGAACGGTACAAATTCAACGAAACAGAAATTCAATTTAATTGTAATTAAAGTAATTGCAGTAGTTGTTGCTGTTTGATTCTCTTCTGTTATGTTTTTTTTTACTTTTTATAACTGAAGTGTGCGTGGAGTTTTCGTAGAAATATAAAATGGATGAAACCTGGTATTTTATTTGTTTCTTTTTTTCTGTTATAATTCCAAATCTTTTTCCCATACATAGGTTGTCTGATTACTAGAAAATTACACTTCATTTAAAAATACACATAATAATTATGTTGGTACTTTATTTTATTTGACTCTTGTCTAATAGATAACAGACATACAGAGTTCGTGTATAAATTTGATTATAAGGTCAAATTTAATTTCGGCATTGAATCTGTTTGTATTTTACTTCTTCGTCGCCATCATAATTGAAATATGATTCGGTAAGATTGATGGAATCATCAGTAATCAGAGATTTTGCACTATCGCTGAACAGTACATTTCGATGTCCTGGTTCAAATTCGCCGAAAAGTTTGAAGACATCAACAAGGCTACCGTCTCTTCCGAAATATCGAGATAGAGCCGAAAATGCATGTTTGATTCCGTCTTGTTCATAGCTTTTTAAAGTGTTTCTGGTGTATACTGTGGCGGGCGGTGTTGCATCATATGCACAATTATTGGCATCCACTTGATCAATGACAATTGCCTTTCTTGTACCTTGGCACACTAGTTCATATGAATCGATGTCTACATTGCTAATGTTTTGATTGAAATGGATAACTCGAACCATGTTCATCGACTCGTCCGTTGTAAGTCCCATACACTTTCCATTTCCACGTTTGTAATTGAAATTCAATGCGGCGTCGCGACTTCTCTCATCATTCGGATCGTATTTTCTGTAAATAAAAATCAATAGTATTTATTAATAGTAATTCACATTATTTTAATTTCGATGAATGTCAACATACATCGGAGTTGTTGCAAGCAGTTCATTACTCAGTTCTTTATCTACAACAACAAAATAATGAATGTCACTTAATTCATGAGCGATGGGAATTAATTGCGATTCTCTGGCTTTTTGTCGATTCTTTATTGTAATAATGGCTGCATCACTCTCTCCACTTCGTACCTTGAATCAAAAATAAAATATTAAAATATTATTCGGCATACGTATTACAAAACAAGGATCTCTTACGCTTTGAATACAATCTGATGAGTGTACGCACAAAAATTGTGGCCTAATATCTCGGGAGTAAGCTGCTCGTTGCAAAACTTCACATTTTCGCATTTCAATATCATTATTTGTACACAAACTGTAAATAGAAACACGATCAATGATTACATTCATAAATAGTGAAATAATCGCACGAGTGTATAATACCGGATTTTTTGTTCAGTTGGTCCTTCTCGTTCGATAACATCTTTATACTGAGCTCGCGATAAATGGTTTCCAGGTAAAACTAGTTCTTGCTTCGTCACAACTACATTTTTCTCATTAATCCAAAGTTTTGATGCTGCCATTTTGTCACTTGATTTTTTTCCTTCTTCGTAAAATTCCTTGATGCGATCTTGCAAACGTGATAAACTTGTCGACGTAATATCACTATTACTCATATAACCTTGCCATGGGCGAGCGGCCCATGAACATGGTTTATCGGTCACTGCTCGACGAGTACCATCTTCACATAAATATTCATAATCATTTGGATTTGCTTGTGGCTCAGTTTGGGAATTTTGATTTTGATTGTTTATTGGTAACTGAAAAGATGATACTTCTTTATCCGCCAGAAGTCATGCTTTGTTTAAATATAAATTAATACACTTACTCCAAAGAAACGACGAACATAAATAACTTTAGTGAAAGCAACATCACCTCCGTTCTCAACTAAACATCGAATAGCGCCCTCATAGCCGGAAAAACGGTCCGGATAATTGCATTTAACGGGATCTTCGCACAATGCGCACAAATTAGAATATCGCTTTTCTAAAATATCGCAACACACATTTGTATAAAAAAACACTATTACCGGCGAAATGTTTATATTTTAAACAAGAAAAGTCTTACTATATAATTGATTAAGTTCTTCATTGGACGACCACGTTCCAACCAAACAAGATTGTGTGAATACCTCTGACAATCCTTTCAATTCCCTCTCAACAGATGGCAAGTATTGATTTGAGGATAACTTGAAAATACCGTGTTTTCTTAATTTCGTAATTGGTATTTTATATCCAACATTTCGTCCATATCCTGCATTTTTAATTTTTCAATATTTTAATTTAAAGCCAACATTTTTGTTTTCATTAACCTGTATGACATGATTTTCTTCCTCGTAGATCGTCTAAAGTTTTTATTGTTGAATTTTTGTGCACTAGCATAATTCCCTCGTAACGGAACTCGGCTTCAAAGAAAACGAAAAAAAAAGAGAAATGTTTCCAATGACTTTTATAATTCAAATTTGAATTGTTTTTTTCTACCATCCGGTTCGTCTACAGTGCGTATTTCCGAAAAGACAGTAAAGTCCTCATTTTTCATTTGGAGTGCAACGTACATGTCTTCCGGGTCAACTGCCAGAAAATCCGCTTCGCGTTTTTGCACTTTTTCTAAACATTCCATGCTACAGTATATCAAGACAAATGTGTAAAAATAATGCTCCAACAACCAATAGCTTGAATAATGATTTACCGATCACGAGCAGGCACACACTTAATTGCTGTATATTCGGAATTCCGTTTGCTTACCAATTTTTCGCAAATATTTTGAAGTGTGTGAGGAACACACATTTTATCTACAATTTTTTTTTAAATATACTCAGAAAAAAACTTTTTAAATTATTTTAAAAATCTTATTTACATTCAGATTGGTCATTGCTTTTTGATGACGTGGAAATATCCTAATTACAAACAAAAACATATAATTATTCATTTTATCATCGCCTACTGTGGTCAAGCACAAATTATACCTTAGATGCACTTGGATCGGTTGAAGCAAATATTGAGGTAGTTATTAAGAGAATAACAAAATTAGTGTAAATTAACTGCGTCATTTTGAGTTTGAACAACAAAACCGTGAAGAATAAAAACCGTCCGTACTCATGCAATATATAAACAAAACTGAATGATCAAACTTAATTTGCTGTCATATTGTAATCACGATGAAGAGTGGTTCGTTCTTATTTCTTATTGGTAAAGCCGGAATTAATATGCAAATTAGTAAGAGATGTTGCCATTCTCGTAGCGCAACTTTTTCCATATGCGTTGTTTTTAACTTTTTCATCATTTAAGCGAATGACCGGAATAGAAGCGATAAATATAGATTCCACAAAGTCAGAATATCTTCAACGATTTAATTTTTGTTTCTTTAATTTTCGAAATAGAATGACTTCTTTCATATATTACGTTTTATTTATTCCAAACATGAATTGGTTTTTTACGGTCCGAATAACCTTCATTTAATTTTCTCAGAGTCAACTATGCATGAGTGCCGTTTGAATCACAATAAATTCTGAATCAATGACTGATCTGAATTGATATTCTGTCAACTTGAAGACAATGATTTGCATAAACAATTATTTTAAATAGCATTCATGTTTTTTTTCTTTCTTCTCGTAATTTGACAGGGACTCAATTGAACGCACATATAAAATTCAATTCAATGTTTAAACAATTTTATTGTATCCTTCTATTAATATGTCTAGATTAAATAAAAGTCCACAATTTACAGAGATTTTGTTTGTTTTTTTAATGGTACAGAAGCGTAAGCAGCTACTTTTAAATGTATTTTTCGGAAATATATTGCTACTTTACTTAAATGTTAATAGCAAAACTGCAATGAAAGGTAGAATGGATTTGTTTAAAAATTACTATCACTGTGTTTTTTTTTAAATTAATTCCATTTATTTGTATACATTTTAAATGCAACAGTTGATATTTATTTACACAACAATGAGAATTAAATTGGATGTTTTAATAGAATTTCTTTCAATTTCAACAACTTAATCAAAAGTCTCTTAAAAATTACAAACTATGCTTGATGGATAAATGAAAATTGGTTGAATTGGAAAAAAAAGAATAATATAATCAATTGATCTGCGCTTGTCTAAATTTATGGCTCAATCCTCTTTTTTTGATTCAATGACTTTTGATACGATAAAATTACGATCTTGTCACAATTATTATTTGGTGAATATGATTTATGCATTTTTGGAAAAAAAATTGTTTGTTTCGTTTCATTGTGCTTCTCTTCAATCAATTGGTAGTAATCAATTAGATTGGCTGGCGTGAAGGTCCTGTGCCCCGATCATAGAACAGCATGTACGCTGAAACACTTAGCACTTCGTCAATAGACACCTCTTTGACAACACAGTCAGAAGTGTAGTACCACCTGAAGAAGAGTTCGACATAGTTAAGTAACATTTAAACATGGTATTGATAAAATATATTTGACTCACCTATGTGAATTTCTTAACGCTCCACGTCTGTACGTAATAAAATGTCCACCATTTGCCTCACCAGTGTGAACCACAACAGCCAACAAACGATAGAGATTACGTGGGAACATGCCACCAAAATTGTATGTGCTAAATGAATCGTTGCCCGACAAACCGGCAGTATTTAATTGTAGACTAGATGACAAAAGTGACATTGTGCTTCCCCACGGTGTTGAAGCCTAATCATAATCAATTTACATTTGATTATTTTTTTAATTAAAATTCCATGATAATTGATAATTTGATCTAACCTGACTTAAACTTGGTTGAATGTAACTGTATGGCGCCATTGACAGACTTTCGGGGAAATGAACGATGTCTTGTCTCTTGCATACTTTTCCGCTGGGTAACCATGTGTTCCGCGAAATGTGAATGCATAAACATGCTGGTAACTGCAAAAAAGTCACATTTTCAGATTACTTAATATTACTTGTCAATAATTTATATTAATCGGATCCAAAAAAAGATTGCAATTGAATTTTGGACATGATCAGTTTCCTACCTTTGCAAATGTAACAGATTTGGTGTGATTGCAGGTTTCGTTGCATGATTCGCATGTGACATCGGTAAGATTTTCTGATGCAACATAATCGCTTAAAAGATGGCCAAGACTTAGCCCAATATTTTTGTTTTCGGGTAAAGGTAACGAAATGCTGTCGAACTTGTCATAACGTACGACCGATTTGTAGCCACAGCCTGTACAAATCATTTGGCTACTTTGTGCACCTCTAAACGGATGTGGAATTTGGATTTGAGCCTGTTCACCGTAAACTGACACGCGATTCGGGCCGCGATTTAGGCGTTCAAGGGATCGGTAGGTAAGGGATCCACGTTTACTTCCAACATCACCATTCTGTTGAGTTGATCTGGGGCGACTCTTTCGCATTTCTGGCATTGCCATGGGAGATTGCGATGCAATCATATCATCAAGCATGGTATTGTCAGGAGGTTCATCATCGAGATCATTGCACACCGATTGCGGTGAATCGGGTGTGTGCGCTTCGCTTCGAACATTTCGCATGAGTCCTGTCACTTCATTGTATTCAGCTCTAGCAAAGTCTGACAACAATGCACTTGATGGCCGCGGTGGAAATAGACGATCGAGTTCTAATGTGCCATCTCCGAGTGCATCCGATAAACAACCAATCTGAATATTGCAAATATTCAATTATTTTTACTTTAGTTCTGTATATCATACATAATATGTATGTGTTATCATTTGTTCATTCTTACTTTCTTTGGTCTGATTGCTTCTTCTTCGAGTGACGATAGTATCACATGTAGTAGTTCATGCGCGTCATGTTCATCGTCTTGTGGAATAACCCATCCAAGTGAAGAAAGAACACGAAGTACAGCGCCGGGTGAATAAGGATCTGCGCGTAATGTTGGATGAGTTCCATTTACAACTAAATGTGGAGAAGAATAACCGATTTAGATGTTTTATCTTCTTTTTTTCATGATTCAAAATTAACCTTCTAAAGTGTTGAGCAAAGATCCAATCAAGCTCTTTTTGTCGGACGCTCCATGTAATTGTAACCAAGCGATAAATTGCGGACATGCTGCTAATGCTTGCAGTAAAGTATTTAAAAAGCAAGTACGTCCAAAATTATGTAAACCCGCAATTTGACCACGTCGCTGCCTTAATCGTGACGTACCTTTAAAAATAGAACACAGTTATGTCTTATTTTATTTGTGGAATATTTATTCAATAGGGAATGCAGTGAAATACTTTGAAACTGTTTCTTATCAAATGGTTAGTTTTTTTTTTGCTTACTACCTGAAGGTCCCCAGAACACAAATGCTGCGGTTATGCATGCTGCTGTTACTCCAGCAGCCATCAATATCTTTTCTCCTTCCATGTCACTTAATTGCTATACTAAATTTTGAATATTTGTTTAAATTTTATTCAATTTTACATCCTTAGCAGCAACGGAATTTTTCTGAAACTTTCATTTAATTCCTGTCGAAATTTTTCGTTTTTCTATTCTGCTCAATATTTTTCTTCGTTCACTGTCAACACACGTACACACTATTGATGTAATGTTGTGTGAGTTTGACGCGAGCGCAGTGCGTACAAAATACATACATAACGAAAGAAGAAAACACAGGGAACGTAAAATGTCAAAACAAAACAATGCGTTCGTTCAATGTCACTTCAACTTTTCAAAGTATGACATTTAACGACGCTTATCGTTAGAAATTTGTGCATTTATTGAGTTTTGATTTTCTTTTCAATACATTTTTTTTAAAAAATCGCAATGTAAATAAAAAATATCATAGCATTAATGTATTCTATTTGATTTGGTTTTTCTTGTTCTTCTTTAAGTCTTTCGATTCATTCAACTTCCAATCGTAAATATAGTCTTTGACAAATAAATTTCTCTCGAATTGAATTCTATGAGAAATAAAAAAAAAAGAGAATTCAAACGAAATACGCCAACGAATTTTTTAAATTTAGTTACCCCAAAAGACGTCTCAAGAATGCATAGCTGGGTTTTTCGTCAAATTTCAATTGACGACAATAGCCTACGAAGGTTTGAAATTCAACTGGCAATCCTTTGCATAAATCCATTACCTAGAATCACATCGAAAAGAATGGAAGTAATGGAAATAAATAAACAAATAATGAAAATAATGGAAAAATAATCAAAAGAAGAATGGATAGCATTTTTAAAGTAAGTAGGCCATGATTCGTACACTTGTCGACATTTTTATTTCAAGAATCCGTTCTTTACGCTGTTTGGTAGTCAAACCATTGTCGCCAACCTTTGGCACCTGTTGCCACGGCAATTTACTTTGCAAAAAATAGATCAAAATATAAGCCAACGATTCCAGATCGTCTTTTCTGCCACTGCTATACTGTTGCATAACCGAAATCGATGCATACCTGAATAATTATTTTAATTACACGTTAGAATGGACTAGTTGCTTCATCAATTATACATTTTAATATTAACTAACCTAGCTGTCCCGGTAAAACTTTGCAACTTCATTTGTTTCACGTGCTCAACCTCGTTGTTGACGACTTGACAAAACCGGCGTGCCAAACCAAAATCAATCAAATAAATCTCCGAATGATTATCCACGTCACAGACGAAGTTGTCAGGTTTTATATCACGGTGAAGATAGCTGAGAATCGTTTGCTTATTGTTATTTATTTTTAATAATAATAATTAATATTATTTTTTTTTACCTCATTTGATGAATACTTTCTATGTGACGAATCATTTTTTCGCCTATTTTACAAAAGAGACAGAGACATTAAAGTGAATAATTTACGCATTTGCTACTAGATTAACATGACAACTGCTGCTATCATATACTGATACGATTTTCAACTCACCCAACATTAAAACAGTTTTCAAACTGAATTTTCGTCGGCAATAATTGAACAACTTCTCCTGTTAGACAAAACACAAACAAATTAAAATGAAACGAAAATTTCGAATGCAGTTCAATGATGAGACTCAATAAAAAAAACGAGAATCATTTGTTCGTGTAGCAAAATTATCTTACCAAAGATGGGCCCAGCAATTGCATAACGAGATAATCATATTGATCATTAGATCCATAGTAAATTAGTTTTGGAATACCTGTGCGCTCACCAATAAGCTGATACACCTGAAATATTCAATGGCTTTTCTTAACACAGATAGCAACAATAAGAACAATAACAATGCAATGAGAAAAAAAGATACATACACGATATTCATTTTTTAATTGCGAATGTGAACTTGTCCTATCTTCAAACTTTATTGCAACCTTTCTGCCAGTATAGCTGTCATAACATTCGTACACCTCTCCAAACGAACCCTTCCCAATTCTTTGTCCAACCGTCCATCGCTTCTCAATTATTTGGTTCTGCAAGATTTTCGTCGAATGATCGGCTGATGACATCTTTTTTCTGAACACACTCCAAACTCTTTCCGTGAATTGTCAAAATTCATATGATTTACTTTTGTCACTGACACTTTTTTTTTCAACGCCAAAGTCTATTGCGTGATTTGATCGAAACCAAACCACTATCCAAAAGCGAGATTAAATAACAACGTGCCAATTTATTTTGGATTCAAAATGGAAGAGTCACATGTGCGCAAAGAATGTTCATGCAGTTGTTGTTGTTGACGATGATGTTCGAAACAGTTATAAAGCTAAAACGTCGATGCCACACACAAATACAGTGTTAATCATTTAGAAATATGCACATCTCATATAATGTGGTAACAAATGTGTAACGTCCTTGCTATATTTTAAGGTTGAACGATGTAACAATTCGGTCCATTCTATTGCTCATTTTAGTGTCATGTATAATAAAGATTATGTGTAGGTTTTGTATTTCAAATCAAACGATAAAACTTACAAACTAAACAAATATAAAGTTCAAAAACGTAACAAACATTTTTGAGAGATTTGATTTAATTTTCGGTAACAGAAATATTTTTTATGCGGCCTTTATTATTGCATTTATTTTTTATATTCAATGAATAGAATTACAATTTCGAACTTGTCAGTTGGTACCTGTGTGCGTCAAAATTAAAACATGCAGTATTTGTTTACATTTGAAAATTTGCTTTGTAATCATAGCATCGCATTATAATGTGACATTCGTTTGAATTCACACAACTGATTTCTTTCTTGTTATTTAAGCTATGGGTTCTGCGAATTTACAAAGAATGGATTTACTTACAGTGGATTTTTTTGCTTGTCTTTGTTGTGTTTTTAAATTAACAGAACATCCACAAACTGACGATGTAAGAATTCAGCATCATTTTTGTCAATCGTACGATCGATGTAGTAATCATATGTTTATTTTATCTTTCGTCGCCGCTTGGAAAAGAATTGATATTTGTTATGTTTCTGAGAAGAAGCGCATTAAGTATATCACACATGGTCTTATTTGCATGTCCAGAATTTCACAGCGAATCAAAATAAAATTTGAACAGCTATCAAATCAATAGTTCTTTTACTCGGGTAGTGTGTACTTTATTTATTTGAATGGGGTAGAATAAAAACTACTTCTCGAAAAATTGCTATTTTAAAACGAAACCTAAAAAAAATTTCAATAAAAAGTGAATCAATTTTTTTTTGTCCAATTGAAGTGAATCAAGAAAATTTTGTTCAATAAAAGTGAACCAAAAAAAAAAATTCACTCGGTTTTTTCAGTGTAAAATACACTAAAATGAATTTTTTTTTTGGGTTCACTTTTATTGAACAATTTTTTTTTGGTTCACTTCAATTGGACAAAAAAAAATTGATTCACTTTTCATTGAAAGTTTTTTTTAGGTTTCGTGTTTAAACATTTTTCGAGAAGTAGTTTTTATTCTACCCCATTCATTTGATCAATGTCCAAATTCTTTGAAATTTTGCCGTGAATTTTGAGTTTTATTCGATTTGGCTTATTACTTTGAATCGGCAATTCGATTGTCTCATTATTTGATTGTTCCATCAATTGCTGTTATTAGATAATTTTGCTGGCTGAAAACAAATAGGGAGTAAATGCAAAAATCAACGATAAAAAGGATTTTGACTTCCAGATTTTTTCAGATAGTGTAGCTTTTGTGCAAGAGATGAGATGCGACGTGCTGTTTTTACTCTCAGCCTCTCAAATATATTTATTGTTTATATATAAACAATTAAAGAATACAACTTACTTACTTACAACTGTATGGCATCGTGATATCGCAGCAGCGAACCCAATCTACTACATTAGTGTTATTGAAGCTATGCACAACAAAACAAATCAAATACAATAATATTATATGTAATGCTTTTTAAGATGTATAGAAGATTCAGTCAAAAATCCGCATACGGATACCTTGGCGTAATTTGATCAATCGATCTATACCATTCTATGTCAGAATTGCAATATCCACCACGCAGCGTAAGTTCGCTGGGCCTTGAATTCATTATTTAGGCAAAACACAAACATTTTCTATGATGTCAATTTTTTCTTTATTGTTCTTTTTTTAACGCTCAGAATTTCAGTTCTCTTAAAAAACACATGTACAAATGTGAAAGCAAAAAAAAATTACTTCAAATTATTCAATATTATCATTTCCATTGAAACCTAATTATTTAAAATCAAAATTTGTACATAAACAATATTTATTTGACTTCGTTTCATTTACCAAAATTTTACAATTGAACGCTTGAAATTAAAAAGAAAACTTTATAGTTTGGAACAAATGAAATTGTGTGTGTTGATAAGCAACTAAGCTTCAAACAATATAAAGTTTCCAATATACATGCTTTGTATAATGTTCTCTGCATAGAGTTTACAACAGTTTTTGTCATGTTATGGCTACTGATTTGTGTTGATTAATGGCTATGTGAATTAAATAAGAATTCTTTGTCGTGTCTCACTGTTGGTAAATTTAAAATAATAATAGAGAGATATAAAAATCGGAATAATGCAAATCCTAATCATCTAATATACATAAATCCGAGCAATGGAGTTTATGTTTGCCTCTGTGCACTCACTCAATACAAATATTGAGCATGACTAATTCTAAAATCGAATGACATAATTGAAAAAAAAAATCGTTAAAATTTCTATGACTTTGTAGACTTTCAGTAGACATATCTCATTGGACAGACATTTGAATAAATATATTTTGGAGTTTGAAGATTTTGTTCGCGTTCCTCTTGTGGCACATTTAAATTAAACTAAAAATGAAAGAAAAAGTCTGACATTTTCGTTTGCCGTTGCAATTTATTTGCGACGATTGTGATGGTGTTTATTTGTTTGATCGGCCCGTCGCAATACCTCAGCATACGATAGATCCAATTTCATAAGCTTGTGAAGATCATGTGCAGCAGCGCTCTTGGTGCGATAGACAATTGTTTCGCCACTAGCAGTGGTTTTTCGGCTCGATGGCACATTGCGATTATAAACGGTGATAGAGTTTCCGTTCCAGATAACATCAGAATTATTATTTGCTGCTGAGCCTTGTGCAGAACCGTCATCATTCTTTGCCACTGTTCCATCTTTTTGGAAATCGAAGGCAACACGCTCACGTCTTTTGCGATTGGCATAGAAAAATCGTGGCGATGTTGGAATAAGAGCTGGCGAATCTGATGGATCGACGGCACCTTGACGATTGCGTTTCTTGTTCTTTTTACGCAAATTACTGAACGCCAAGTATTCAAGTGGTTCGCGTTTGTGCGGCGTTAGTGTTCGGTTATTTTCAAAGACTTCCTTTTTCGTTGGTGATTTGTTCTCTTGGCCAGTCTTCTTCTTGGCGGTTTTTCGTTCGTGTTTTGTAACACATTCAGACATTGCAACAGACTGCTCGGATACAACAGACGAAACAACGCTTTCAGTTTCAACTTCAGGGAAGTTTGGCAATTCTTCAGCGGCTGGTGTCACTGGTGGAACTTTGAATGCCGGATTTGCATCGTCAAGTAGTGGCAATTTTTCACCTTCGTCTTTGTTCTCAGCGGCTTTTTTCAATGTAGCAAAAATCTCCTTGAATAGATGACGATACCTGAAAAAAACAACGAAAATTCAATTAGTATAGTGAAGTAGAAACCATTCATTTTCATTATTATTCTGAAATCAACTCACTTTGGACAGTGACGGAACCGTGAATCAATCGGAGAGGCTTCATCGTAAATGGTAAACTTATCTTCTCCATCGGCGATTGTGCACAAAAATGTCTCTTCCGTTTGTGTAAACTTATTGCTGATCTCATCCGAATATCCGGAGCTGGATGTTTCTGCTTCGGAAAAGTCAGTTGGTGTGAGCAAGTTGAGTTTTCGTTTGGCACCAGTTGTTGTTGATGCTACTGATGAGGATGATGCCATTGCTGCTGCTGATGTCGTTGGCATCATATCATCTTCGTTAGATAGGCTTGGTTCCTTGGGCTCTTCTTTCACAGCGCTCATTGCAGATGCCAATTCTTCATGCAAAGAACCAACTGGAGGCAGTTCTTCTTGTCGACTACGGAATGCTGTATGATGAACCTCCAATAAAGCCTCATACTTGTTGACCAAATCGCGATACGGGTTGGGACTAGGAGCTGATATATTCAAAGTCGACTCAGCACCATCCTATTTTTTTTACAAAAATCGCAAAAGTGACAAATAGATTTTCATTTAATATATATCATTCAAAATAAATCGTCCCAATGTTAGCAAAGGAAAAAAAATAGCCAACACATACTTGCATGCCTTACAAAACTAAATAGAAAAAAAAAACTAAATACAAAAGAAATATTGAATAATTTATTTTGCATTCAAATAGATGCTGTTGTTAGTTTTTGGTTTTTCTGTAATATGGAAATCTTTAACACAACTAAATAGATTACTTTAAAAAAAGGACGGAATGGAGTTAGATAAATTTATGCCACCAAATAAAATCATAATATATATATATACACATTCAGTTTGTGAAGTTTCTTGTATTAAACATGTGACATTTACATTTTTATATCTTTTGATAAAAAAATAATTATTCATATCAAAAACAAAAATAATTCCAAATAAATGCAAATAGTAACCGATGAAGGGAATTGGTGGTACCAATTTGGTACAGCGCTTCAATCCGTTATTTTCTTCTATTATAAAATATTCAAAGTTCCAGACCACTTAAATTGTATTTTTGTATTTTCGTATTTTTACCTAAATCCAAATGTTTTTTTTTTTTTTAAATAATAATCTGTACTATATCAACTCTTTCGTTTGGCACTTTAGAGAGTGGCGTTAGTTAAATAAGTTAATTACTATATGACTATGGAACAATGTGGTCGAAAGCTAAATATAAATCTATATTCTTTTTCTTAAAGTCTCATTATTTCAAAAATAATTTAGATTTAACTGATGCGCTGCGATAACCTCTGTTTTATGTGAAGTGTTGAAATTTTGTATCCAAAGTTTTTCAAATTGATTTTATCGCCAAATTGCTGTGAAAAATGTCAGAAATCGGTGTTTGTAACCGCATCGCACCAATATTGTTAATCACAAGCCAATGATAAATAAATGGAATGGTTTCTTTTTATATAAATGCGGTTTTTCAATCCTTCTACTACGGTGAATTTCAAACACACATTAACAATAAATTGAATGTGTTTTCTGTGTGATGATGAGTTGTCCTTTGAAATCAGAACTATACTACTTTTTTTGTATGACCAAATTAAATTTTTGAAAAATTCGAGCTGTAACCGAAATAATAGAGTCATTTGATAATATCGTGCGAGATCGAGGGTGTTTGAATCTCATCAGTAGTAGACTAGTAATAAAAGTTGGTGCTAGTTGCTAGTGCTAGTGCTTTCGAAAAACAAAAATGGTGTGTATATCTTATATATCTAAGCGATTACTGTACTACATAAATTCAATACAATCAAAGTTTGGTAAGTCGATCATACGATAAAAAAATATGGCTGGCCATTGCAGCAATTTAGCAGCCAATTTTAGCATCCAATGAATCATTGACACATTACTTCGGATATGTAACCATAATTCAAGAATTAATGCCAAAATAGACACAGGAATTTCATGCAGACATTTTGCATTTTGCAGAGATGTGCTTCTACATAATAAACAATCCGCCTAAAAATATATAATCGAAAGAACAAAGAAAGAACAAAACACATTGTTGAAATCAAGTAAACTAAAATAGTAACATACAAACAAAAATCAAAATAATACATGTGCAGTACATTACATGACAAATACAGAGAGCAACAGAGAAAAAAGACAGAGCGAACAAACAAATAAAATAGTAATAATGATTATGGTAATTGGATGTAAGATTGTTGTTGTGGATTTGTTTATGTTGAATGTGTGAGTTTTTTATGGATAAGACATAGTAGTGCTTGTAATTTGTCATCTAAGTACTTTGAGTGAGAGAGTAGAGAATATAAATACTGTTTGCATTTTAATTTTTTATCGCCCAAAACAAGGATTGCAAATCGGTTTGTTTTTGAACTATGGGTTAATTGTTTTGGGAATCTTTCGTGAAATGTTTACCAAAACATAAAAGAGTTAAACATTTAGTTATATTATTGTGTACATGTGTATCTGTGTCTGAAAATTGTACGGCTGAATCTAAAATAACTAAATCATGCTTATTTTGCATATTATTTCACGTTTTTTTTTTCTGAGGCGGCAATAGTAGAAGTACAATCAAATCTATATGGATGACCTCTATGTGAAATGTCGTATAATCATATTGAAAATTGCAAACGGAAGTGTAAGCAGAATAGTTATCAATCAAGTGATTTGCCAATATCTCCTACCACTGGTTAAATTTTTGAATATATATTTCCGTACAAATTGCGTGCAAAGTCTGAAAAAATCGATGTTTTGATCCAATATTTTCCTAACAGAAACATCGTTAGTATATGCGATAAGGCAAAATAATGAATTGTTTATTCGTTACAATAACAGTATACATCGCTTGTGTTCGATGTTTCTGATTTGGTCGTAAAAATAAATTAACTTTTTATTTTATGATTCCAAATTTACGCCACTTATTTTCTATCTTACAAAGATCTAGTAATATATCTATAATCTGTAATGATTTTTAAATTTTGTATAATGAACGTTTTCATTTCGTTTTAATTTAAAACAATCCTAATTTTTTTTTCTATAGTCCCTGTTCTTTTCAATGTTTTAAAAGCGTAAATCGTTTATGGCAACTTTTTAAACTATTATAAATTAATAATGCTTAAAACTATTAATCTAGGCGTTTTTTGTTCCTTTTATAAAAAAAAATCTTGTAGTTCGGAACTTTGAAGTGTTTCGATTGCCAAAATGTAATAAACTTTTGTGTTGAAAATGAGCATTTCACTTTGATATTCGATAGCAATGAACAAACAAATGAAAAAACATGCAAGCAAGCTGACTAACTTTTGAAACACAAACTTGTACTAATACACATATACAAAATATAAAGAAAATAAAGAGATGAATTTAATAATTAAAAGAGATAATTAAAAAAGCAGACAAATTAAAAAAAAATTTAGTGGCATAAGCATTAGCAAAGGTTATAAGCGGTCAATATATTTTATTTGGTTTTATATTGAGAAAAGGCTGATAGCAGGAACGATGGCAAGCAGGTGAGTGGTTGGTGTGATTTGATTGGGATGGTTAGGTATACTGTGTTAATGAGATCAGAGATTTTTAGAAGGACTTTTTTAATGACCTGATTTATTGTGAGCGTCTGCGAACTGTACATATTTTGTACACTGTTTGTGCGTTGTAGCAATTCATTCAGACTAGCATCATCACCATCCTCTGTGCATGCAATCGACGATGCATAATCTGGCACTAATATGTCATCATCAAAACCACGCAAACAGCGACGACACAGTTTTCCTTGTCTGTAGAAAAAGAAACGCAATAAAAACAATTAGAACACAAATGAAAACATGAAAGAAATTAAATTTTTTTTTATCAATTTTACCCCGATTCTTCAAGTATGGCCAGTTCATCGTGCATCGACCTCATTTCACCAAACTCGGGTGCAACAGTTTGTGCGACTCGATTCTGTAAATCGCGATTATCTTGAACTGCAAGAAAAATGATTGTTATTATTATTATGTAAATTATTAAAAAATTATTACTAAATTACTTAATGATGATAGTTGATCTTCAAGTTCTGACACTCTTTGTCTTTCCGCATTTAATTGGCGTTTGGTACCATCTAATTCGGTGATCATATCCAAGATTTCCGCACTATCACAAGTTTCAGCTAATCGGTCCACTTCATCGACTCCCAATGGTTGCGACGGTTGAACATTATTTGTCGACACATGCGCCACTATTGTTTCAGTATTGCCCTTGGTATTGTTTGACTGCAAGTATAAAATAAAATATTGCTATAGGACCAGTGAATTAAAAAATCATTTAATTTTAACTTACATTCGGTTCCCTCAAACCACTATTTACGGGTGCAATGACCGCTTCATCTTTCTTCGTTCGTTGTTCAAGTTGTAATCGCTCATTTTTGCGCCTTTCAATTTCCAGTTCACGCTGCAACTCTTCAATTTGTTTACGTAATTCATCAATTTTCTCCTCCAGCGTTTCATTATTGCCAATCAAACTGTAGTTGAGAAAAGAAAAAATTATTCACTCATTGTAATATTATTTTATTTTGTGATTATTACGTTTTGTTGATCTTCTTCAAGTTAGAGTAATCTATATTCAATCGATGATTCTGTTTCTCTAGATCTTGGATGCTAACTTCGATGTTTTCATAGATCCTTAGTCTCGTGTCATTGACCTCTCGTAATGCGTTATTTTGTTTTGTCAAATACTAAAAGTGAAAAAATAAAATGCAATTAGTTAACGCAATGATCATTTAAATGGCATGGCATGGTGCCCTAGAATATGTGAATGTTTTTTTTTTTAATTTTTCGTTATTCGTTCGGGAAGGTTGAACGTTGTTCGCTTGCGCAACAAATTTCCAGTGAAATGATTGTATATGTCTGTCTCTATGCCGTATCTTATGTTACTTAGCGTCATAAATTTATTTCGTGGATAAAATTAAAAGGCGAAATTCAGACGTACGTATGAAAAAATATGAGGCCAGTCAGCAGGGAGCGTCAATTATGAGTCGTCACACCCTTGTGTGAAATAAAAAAAACTTATACGCACACATAATCAAATGTCCACACAAGCACCATCGATTTTCAGTGAAAGACAAAGGAAAAGTGGAAGCAAATTGCTGTGAGTTTGCCAATTAGTAGTTTTACTAAAGCTGAACACAGCGGTTCGTAATCATATCAAATTGAAATTTTGTTTGCACACATAAATTTTGTTTTGGTTTTACTTTTTCGATTTTCAAACTCACTTTCGTGGTCGACATATGGCATTGTGACTACATTAAAAATAAAAGTGAACAAAATGGGACTATTTGAAAGTAAAATTCTCGATGGTGATTTCGATGAACCAGAATGGTTGGAGAAATTGTCTTATTTTGGATTGCGCGTTTGGCATTTAGGATTCTTTGGTTTCAGCATCTTTGTATGCATTGGTCAGACTTTCCCATTTTTACGCATGAAATCAACCAACGAGTGAATTCGGTCGAAATAATTCTTAATTATTGGTTTTCTTTTTTGCACCCATTGTAGTTGTGATGTTGTGTTGTTGCTTTCGCTTTCGAATTCCACGCACCAAACAAGACATCGAAGCCGACTATCAGCGCCGAGTAATTGCGAAAAATTTTCGTGAACGTCTTTGGAACATAAAAAATAGCGAAATGGATAACATGAACTTACAAAAAGGTGAGAAAAATTACACGGCGCATAGATAAATCCAAACAATATATATTACGAAATGATACGGTTTTCTTTACTATTCAGCTTTAGAACGTATTCGTCAAGATTTTGTAGCTGAAACACAAAGAAATATGGAAATACAGGAAATGAAAGGTGTTGTGTTGCGGAGAGCGCAAGTTTGAGAGAAAAAGCGACAAATTGAAATATCCGTTCAATAGTTTACATTAACCTCAAAAAATCAAGTTCAAGATAAAAAGAATAGTTTACCTTACTCAAGATAATATTGAAAATACAACAACTTTAATAAAAAAAGGTAGAGAATATCCATTCTATGTGCAACAAATAAAGTTTTATAATAAATCATATTTTAATGCGTTTGAAATGTAGTTTTGGTTTCTCTTGTATGTTTTTTTTCTTCATTTGTTAAACATACGCGTTCGCAGCATATCTTTAGACGGCTAAGTATTGATTTTGAAAATATATGTGTTTTCACCATTTGAACAACGTCATAAGTCCACGGCAGAGGAATATATGTTGTAAAATATGCGTGTTTTTCATTCGTTTAACATACATTAGACCAATCTACAGTAACCTTGGTAATGAATTGTGTTTGATTTGACATAGAATCTAATGTCTACAAATTTTGCAACTAGATATGGCTGTGCGCTGCCATCACTTTAGTAGCTTTAATAATGGAGATCGTATTATTTGTTGTACGTGATATGCGTGATTTTTTTTCATCGTCTTTTTCGATGTATCAAACAGATTCAATATTGTAAATTATCTATTTCCTTACCTCGATTTCTTGCACCTGGTCGTCAATGATGGTTTGTTGGTGCTTGATATTTTGCTCGAGCTCTTTATTTCTTTCCAATAGCGTTTTACCAAGTTCTGCTGCCAACTGCAAATCTAAATTGATTTGAAATTAATAAAAATTAATCAAGTTGACAATATAAGCTTTGCTCTGAAATTTGTTGAATAAAAATATGTTGGAATCGCTTTAACATCTGTTTGCTTTATGATCTATACGATAGATTGCCAATTTGTATTTACAAAAGATACAAGACATATGTTATCTTAGTTGCGCATTCGTTTTTGGTGTCATCGCTTGATTTATGTGGTTGATTTACAGTTTATTTGTACTAAATGGCACATGTACAGAATATATAAATAACCAAGTTTAGATGAATGAAACCCACTCATTCGTTACTATGGAATGTTTTTGATTGTGTCCAATTTTTCAATATTTCTTGTTGATCTTCAATAATATTTGTGGAGGTGTGACGGGAAAAAAACAATTTGGTATATTTGATGACCCAAAAAAAAGAGTTGCGCAACAGGTGATATGTCATGTTTTTTCTTTCATGTAAATTCTTAGACTGTCTTTTGAATTTGGTAAAACAGTTGCACCACTTTCTTTCTTCACAACACTCATATGTGCCCAAGCTATTTGCAGGTGAATGTACACAATGTTTTTTTACAGAAAAAAATGCAGGAAAATGAAGAAACAAAAATTCCAATGAATTAAACTAGAATTGAAAGCCCGAAAAATATGTTTGATACACAAGTGCACAGGAACAAAACGGCACCATCGAAATAACGCAGCTAGTAATTAATATGTGTTCCCACAGCCGAAGCGTGGTACACGTTCATTTAATATATGAATTTTTAAGCACGCAAGTGTACAAGTTGTACAAGCATTCGTGGTTCGTTTGCAACGATAACAATGATTGGAACAACACATTTTTTCCTAATTAAAAATGCATAAAACCATTACGAAAGAGAAACTGACAGCCGTAGCTGCAGTATTATTCACAAAACTTTAACACCAACTGTTGAAAGGCGAAAAAAATGTGAACACGAAATGTATTTACATTTACACAACACTTGACAAAATAGCGATACAAAGCAAGGTAAAAGTGATCATAAAAGTATCAAATTCAGAAGTTTGAATGTGTCTGTGATCTCAAGCAAAAAGGCGTTAATAAATTAAACAATAAAATTAAAAAAAATACATTTATATACGCTTCTTCGTTGTAAGTAACAATAAATTTACGTAGAATTTCTGACTTGGCTTTTTTCACCTCGCCAATTATACTGTGGTCAATCATACCAATTAGTGATTCGTCTATTTTGATGAGACCAAGTAAAACAAATATAATTTATAGTATATGCTATCGCACAAGGAGAAAATGAGATTTTATCGTTCAAAAAATGTCAGTTAGGTTGTAAATAAGCTTTAGATGCCATTTCTACAAGTCGTGAGTTCAATGCTCAGATTAAGAAGAAACAAAGTCAATTTTGTCGTGTTTTCGTACAAAAAAAGCATGCCAGCGTGCTACGACATGGCAACCATCATTATCGTTTATATATCAAAATCCAAATTTGCCTGTTTCGTAAACTTTCAGTTTTTTTTTTATTTTTTTTTTTTGGCGAACACCGAACAGTCTCTGTTTTATCTTCACCGATTGAAAAGAAGACATTTTGATGTTTTAATTTTCGAATCATGAACATGATGAACAAAATCTGATCGACATTCATGAAAGAGTTAATGAAACTGTGAAAATAAAATAATAATTTGCTGTTCATCACGGTTATACTGCTCTGAAGTCCCAAAGGCGATTTGATTTCAAAGAGGTTCACTCACATTCAATTGAAATGCAAAAATGGCGCAAATCAAAAAGATTTTTCTCAAAAAAAAAAAAACCGTAACACGTTTTTTACATGGCGAGTAATGTGCAAACCATTTCTCTTCTTGTGATTCTCTTTTATTCAACGGACGCGTTTGTTGCCGTCCATGATCAATTTGCTGTGGAATGTTATGCGCAATTTTATGGCACCCACAAAACGACGATCGATTGCAAGGAATCCATTGAAATGAAACTGAAGCTGATATTGAAGAAGCTGTATCTATTGATACATGAAATAAAGAGCATTTCTGCATGTAGGCATGTACTCTCGCCAATTTTGCGGCCATAACAAGCCAATATTACATTTTTTTTTTTTTTTTCAATGCAGAAATATGTTTACCGAAGAAATGGAAATGTGTGCGAGCGTGCACAGTGAACATAACACGATTGAAATTCTATTCCATTGATGAAAGCATGTAATTAAAATGTTTATTTTCAAGTTTGATTGAATATGATTGTGTATTTTAACAATGAAATGTGGTAGAATTGCAACATCATTCGTTGCTGGATTTTTTTTATACTCTTGTCCGATGCGAAATTGAGAGATTAATCATTAAATTGAATTTTATGAGCAATAAATAAAAGAAAAAAAATAATTAACACCGTTTTCTGGTGATTTGAACTATAGATACTGGACCAAGCAGTGAATGCAAACCACAAAATGCTCTTTGACATTTTCGAAATAAGTAACTGAAACTGCAAATTGGGGCGGGAACCAACTCAAATGTGAAAAAAAAAATAAGTTTACGGCATTTTTTAATGCAACCCAAATGAAAATGTGATTATTTTAAAATACTGTGAAATCGTACTATCAGGTCATACTGCGTAAGATGATGAAGACACTTTTCAAGTTGCAACATGCACGGCAAACAAAATGAACTGATTGCATTGTTTGCTTTTTTAAGAAAACAAAGAAAAAACAATAAGTCTATAAAAATCTTAATCGTATAATATGCAGACTAAGATGATGCCGTGATTTGAACTTTGAACAAATTTTTGTAAATAGCAGCGAATTATAATTCGGTCTTATTTATTTGTCCCATATTGGCTTTTATACACGACAATATTGGTAAGAAAAATGTGTGGTCAATGAGTAGAAAAAAATATAACAAATACAGTTTACAGCTATAAGCATACATTTTCGAAATGAAATAGTTCAAAAGTTACGAGTTTGAGATAAATTCGAAATAACAATTTTCATTGATTTTACTTTGAAAGTTTGTCTGAGAATCGAGCCACATTGTCATCTTGTTAATGACGTGAGTTGATCTGGTTTGTCTTTAGAAAAAACTGCATTTTTTGAGGCCAATTAGTTTATTAGAAAAAGCGAAACATCTTCCCATTCACTTCTTCTTGTTGCCTTTTGTGTCTTCTAAATTGCAGTCATTACATCAAAATTTTCAATTTGGTTTCTATTCTCTCTCTCTAACTCTTAAGCTGGTTACATGTGCCAATCCGTAATTTATGGCATGCACAAACACATTCATTGGAATTAAAGTAAATATTTTTTTTCTTTTCTGGAACGCAATTCAGCAATTCACCATGCAATGTTTACTATTTTGCCTTCAATGATTTCACAACGCTACCATTTCGCATTGATTCGATTTTCATCCATGAAACAAGAAATTAAATCGTAACAAGAACAAACATCTAATGAACAAGCACAGCTGCATTCATTGCAGCCAGTTCTCTTGCGAGTATATGACATTGGAGTGTGTGTGGAAAATATGATATGCTTCGGAAAAAATCGCTTGTTTCATCTATTGAAAAGTCATAATCACTAGTTGTGATACGATGCAGTTGTTAATTATGTTGTTTTTCTACTCATAATGGATTTTCTACGTTTCGTTGGGAATTCGTATTCAACAAACAATTGGCAATTTACCATGCGTGAGTGTCTCATGTAAGGAAAAAGAGATATGCACAATTATTATTTAAGCAATCAAATACAATCTTTGAACAAAAAGGCTATCTTTATTCATCTATCAGATGAATGTGGGAACTTTCTGGCATTCAGTTGATTTCTTTATGCAAAATGAGTTTAAAATGTCGATTTTATCATATCACATTTTTTATCTTTGGTATTCGTGAGCACTTTGTATAAAAAAAACTAGATTAACGGTTCATCTATCTTATGTGAATGTATAAATTGACGCCGATGGATATTAATTGAAATCGTATTCAGTAAAATTGAGTATCTTCACTGAAAGACATTTACATGAATGTGCAAAGAAATGTTTTAATGTTGACAACATCATGATTTTTTTATCACAAGAGGTTGGCGATTAAAACGACAACATGTTGTGCAAAATCACAATAGCAGATATAACGGTGGTAAAATGGGAAATTACATGAGTCGTATGTTTTTATCGAAACGTAAATAAAAAAATGTCAAGTTTAAACTTGACAGTGCAATTTTAGCGAAATGTAAGCGAAATAAATTTTTTGAACGACCCCGACGGGACAATAATAAATCACGAGAATAGAATTTATGTAGAAACCTTCTGGGCCTTTCAGGCAATCCAATTCGATGGAATAATCCCAGCAATCCATGCTATTTAGTCGCGACAGTGAACTAGGTGGCGGTGGATTCACTTCCCAGTAATCAACATCATCTTTAGCTGAAGATGTTGTTGATGATGATGACAATGAGACTTCCGGAGATGACACGCTCATTTTCGCTTTGCAAACTTCGTTTGTGTTTTAATGGAATTTAGACTCGCTTGGGTCTGTATTGAAAGTTGTTGTTTTTTTTTGTAATCTTTATAACCACAGCATTGATTAAATGTTTAGTTATTTCAAACAAATAATTGTTATAATGACGCAGGCGATAATCACTTTAACTGATGACCAAATCGTTGAGACCAGTTGTTATTGATTTTGTCAACACCAAAAAAACAAAATACTTAATCAGATGTCGATAGTTCGAGCATTTCTGTTAAACTACAACTGTTTACATGTCAAATTGTCTAATCATTGCAGTATAATTTTGTTTATTTATTTCAAACGGATATGTATGACTTTGCAATTGTCTAACATGTACTATTTTAAACTGTATATGTACGGAACATTTTATTTATTCAAATTCAATAGTTATTATGAAATTTAAAACACTTTACACAGAAACACCTTTTTAAACATCTTGACTGTATTTTAAATAAATGCACTTTTCTGTTTTGGACTTCACTGCGGTAACTTGCCAACAGTATTTTACGATCG